TTTGCCCACTATTCTTTGACTTCTTTACTGTGTAATTTATTTCAGAAGCGATTGTATTTGAAATTATGTAAGAATATGGAAATTGCGTGGGTAGTTCACGCTCCTGTCTCTATATCCGGAATGGTATGACAGGAACATGCGATTCCTCCATTGCGCTGAAGAATAGTGATGTAATAAAAGACACAGGCCGATCCGTGTGAGTAGTAAAAAGTCTGGATTTGAAATAAGTTGTAGTCTGTAATCATCAGGGTCTTGTTTGTGCATTGGAAGAACAGCCAAACTATGGATCGTCTTTCGTTCTACAATGAAAAACTTTCAAAATATTCGAGCTTTTTTTCTACATCTGGCTGACCCAAGAACCATCTCATGAATACGCGGTAAGTGCATGATGCAAGCATTTGTGAGAAAAATCCAGTTGAGTGATTGCTTTATACTCCCTTATGAACTGCTCGTTTATTTTTGGCAACGCATTTTGGAATGCATCTCCAAACTGGAACTGGATGTTGAGTCAGGACTCATCGGAGAAAATGATGTCATTGCACAATGTTGGTCGTTTTGTCCATACCCTATTTCCCGGTGACGAACAGAAACGATTCGAATTTTGTGACTGGGTCCAGTGTCGGCTCATTCCACAACCAACATTATGCAATGATATCAATTTCTCCAATGAGGCAGCATTCTACTTGCACAATTCTAAAGGCTTTCAACACCGTACCCTTTGGCACAAAAAGAATACCTTCCTCCACCATGGCGGACCTCGATAAGGTGAACGTTTGGTGAGCGGTCCATGAGTCACGGATAATTGGCCCCGTGTTCCTACCAGACGAAATGAATTCAACACTGTTTTTGAATGTTACAAGAAACACGGGATCCTTACTTGAACAGTTTATCTCTAGCAACCTCGTCCAGGGTTCTGTTTCAGCAGGATGGAACGCCATCCCATAGCACGAATGTTGTCACCAATTGACTGGACAAAACCCTTCGACTGCAGTGGATCGGGCGGAAAGGCCCAATAGGTTGGCCGCCACAGTCTCCGGATTTAACTCCACTGGGTATTTTCTTGTGGGGATATGTAAAGAGGAAGGTTTATCACCTGAAACCGGAGACCTCGTCACTGTGTGGCGGGAGATACCGAACAGTGTGCTGGAGGCCGTACAGCGAAACCCAATGCGAAGGGTCCGGATCCGTATGGCATAGGACGGTGGTGTTTTCGAACGTCTCATGTGATTGGCAGTACCGGTGACACTCGAAGAACGGAAAATGGTTCTTTTCACGGCCACCGCATATTAATTATGAATTATGGTTTACCACATTGTGTTACTTTTGATAACCATCGGGACTGTTTTCTAGTTTTCTTGGCTCTATTAGACCTATCAACAAAAAAGTTCGTAAATATGTTAAGTGGGATGTGCAATTGTATCATTTGTTGAATGCTAACAAATATCTATAACTGAATGACTGTTTGACAGATGAACATGGTTGCAGTGTATTCAGTCAGCAACAGTAACCATTGTTAATTTGTCGAGCGCATAACACAGCGTGCCATGCGCTTGAACCATCTCGTAACGCTAAGCTGTCGGGTAATCCCCACCACAATGAGTCACGAGGACCGAGTTCGTATCGAATGGTAGTGCAGCTAGGCTGTTAAAACGGCCAAGCCCTGTGGCATACCGAAGCACCATGTGAACCATGCTAGCCGATTGAACTCAATCAACATGTCATCGTCCGTGTAAAACGTTATTGCGCCACAGAGAGAGCGAGAATCGTAAGCAAACCACTTATGGTTAACCGACTGCATCGGTAATGTGGACGGGACTGTTGGGTGAATGGAGCACGGGGGTGACTGAACCTAAGGAAGAAAAGTGGGGGACGTGACTTATTAGTTTACGATAGGACCTAGAACATAAACCATTAACTTAACGGTGCGGGAATATATTAGGTGGGAAACGCGTTCGTATCATCTGTTCCTTGCTGATAACAAGGCCTGAAACTGAATGACTGTTTTACGGGTGAGAACGGTTCTATCCTGTGAGGTCAACGAAGGTTACGATTGTTAATTGGTCGAGCACATGAAACAACGTAGTGCGTGTAGTGTTCTTATTAGTCTCTCATGATGATGGTCAAAATATCTAACGACTCAGTACTTTCAAAACAAGTGAAATCATGAGCCAGTTGATAAGAGCTACTGTTCATAAGGATCAAGTTTTGATTGGGAATTAACAATATTCTATTTGGCTAACTTTCCAGTTGCGGGCTAACCGAAAGTTTGTTCACTAACAGATTAACTGCATTGAAGGTTCCATCAAACTCGTATCGGAATAGGATACAGGCTAGCTTATGAGAGTTTGCTAATAAAAGTTTGTCAGGATGCCTAAGTATCTTTTTCAAGCGAATTTCGCCATAAATCATCACGGTACTACAGAAAATGTGTTCTCCACGATAGGCACAATTTCACATTCATACAACAATGCAAAGACTTTTTGGATTTGAATTTATGTTGCCCTGCAAAATAAGTATTATACTTCATATTCTCCTACAGAATTCATTCATTAGGGATGAACGGCTATTGGCACAAGGCTCTTAAACTATGGAAAATAATCTACAGAAGATTTCCACGTAGCTCGGTGGCGACCGGAAATTTATTCACTACTAAACCACCGAGTTACTGGACGGGAGAATTCTAATAAAACTTTATTCTGGTAGGAGTAAGTCGGTATAAAGAGTGAGTTCTGGAGCAAGAGCGGCATTTCGAAAGATCCTCACGGAGAGGATGGGTTATATCATTGATAATTTGCACAGGTATCCATGTGTCACTCACATACCTTGTTAATTGGTTTACCAAACGTGATGGAAGAGACATGACGGAATGAAAGAATGTCTCGAGAAATATCACTTTTTAGTCCTTCCTTCACCATTCTGGAATGATCACGGAGTGAAAATAGTGTAAGATTAGCAAAGCGCTTCAGGAACAAAGGAAGATTTAATTGTAGGCTTAACTGGGAATCGTCTGAATCTTGGAATTTGAAGACAGCCGCACCGCAGTTTGCGCAGGTAATCATCAGACGACCAGTGAAAGTCAGTGTTTAACGTCACTCCAAGGCAACCAATATATTGATCTTCGGGTAATTGAAAGAGGTTAAAAGTAGAAGGATCACTGGGGAAATCTGTGCGATGTACGATGAACGGTTAAGGGATGGACCACTTTTTTGAGAGAGAAAAAACAGTGTTTTGAAGATTAGAAGATAGTTGGTTAAAGTCTCTTCATCCGATACAGTATGAATTGTAGCTACATTCAAACTGTCTTCCAGAAGATATTCCGTAAGCCAGATCAATAAACTAGGTGGAGAATCCAACAGGTGAAGCTTCTGAAGATTTTTCGGTCGTAGAGCATTCCGATGAAATGTTACAATTCCAGCCCGATTCTTCAGAGGAATATAAGACGAAATGACATAATCAGTGAATTACTCTCATTCCACATAATCTATCTTCACATTACGTTTCTTTGGAGTCTCCTGCAATGCCACACGGTACAGAGAGTAGACTCTGTGAATCAGTTTGTGGGAAAGAGCTTCAAATTTTCCTAAATCATCAGACCAAAGTGTGACCCATTTATTTGCGAATGTAGTATCACTGTTATAGTCTAGATTTCGACAGTATGTCCGAATTGAGATGATCTCAAATGTTTTGGACAGAATGTACACTGCATCAGTTGATTAATTTGTTTTATTACTCTCGAAAAGCTGACCGTAGCTAATCGAAAGACAAAGGTTGTGGTCGTTTAAACACTGATATCCTTTGAAGTATTACTTTAGCCCGTGATGGGTTCACCCGATCAGCACTGGTGTGGTTGGTCAAAGGGCACTGAATGCACAAGTTTATCCACTAAATGAAATCATAAAGTTTGTTGGGTCAAGTTTTTTTACATGTCCCCAGGCGAAACTGGTGGGACTTGTTAGGCAATGAGTAAGCCTAGCCAAAGCATCACATTGAAGAAGGGTATGAAGACCCTAGACAGTGGGATTGACCACGCAGTGTGTTTTTGTTCTTCAAAATGTGATTCACAAGATTCGCCTTCACGATGGTTGAAATACTGATAAACTAAGTGCATGACAACAAACAGTGCCTTTCTTATATTCGGTCTATTTCCTCGTTCATCCGATTTTTTCATTTCGTTCATCCCACACTTCTCAAAGCTTTATTTTTCTCGTTTCTGCTTTGGATTTTAACGTGAGATAATCGCCGAAAATTCTGCATCCAGCGTGTTTTTAATTGTTTTCAGTAAGAAACCCGTCCTTGAAAGCTTACTTTTTCAAACAAGGCACATTGAGTTTATCTGTCTGGGAAAATGTGCTTATCAACGTGACATTCAATTTGACTGCTTAATACAGTGGATTACCTGCCTCTAGAATGAGGTTTGATGTTGGACCAACTCATGACTGCGCTTGGAAAGTGCAAAATTCTTTCCATGCATTGCTATGCTGGTATTCGTCACACTCGTTACGAATGATCAGCAGTGCATATCCACTAAATCGCATCTAGGCCCCCAACTAGGGGGACGTTGTCCTCTGTACGATTGCCGAGATGTCAGTCTCTAGACTCAGTAACGGGTTAGTGCTGTACATATATTCGTCAGCGTTGAGGTGAAGCAAGCTCTTGAAACCCGGTGCAGTTATAGTCTGAGCAGTTAACTTAAGTATCTCATTCCGGCTCGTCGATTTCAAGCTGCAATTCAGACTGCACTGTTAATGATTCCTAATAATCCAATGGGAACTGTCGCGTGCTGCGCTCTCTTGGAAGCTTAGAAAAGTTTTTAAATTATTTCGAACATAACTGAGGTTCAATGCTCTGTGTTGTATCGCCATTTTGAGACGAACACAAAACAATTCTCACCCATCTTTTGCCAGGTGCATCTTACCTGCTGTAGTCACATTAACTTATTGTAATGTGGTTTTTTGACGAGTTGCTTCCATCTAATTGTGCTTTTTTCGCTGTTCTTCCAGCACTTCGTCCATCGTCGTAAAAGTCTGTCTCCTCCAAACTTTCCGTTTGATCATACGATGAAGACTGATTCATCGCGTTTGGGAACAAGGTTGGCTCCGACCTCTCGAACAGAGCCCGAACCACAGTGTCCTGAGACCGAGTCCATCTGTGTCCCTGTATCCATTCAGACGTACCCAGTCGGCCGAAACGCCCTTTGTGATAGTATACCTCGCTCATTGATGTCTGGCTTCCCTGTAGAAAGTGAGGTTGATCTGAAGCCTTGTCACTCTCATCTGCTCAGTCCGGAACGTCTAAAACAGAAGGCGAATTCTTTGACTCATTCTTCACGAGGATCAAAAGTTTCACCCAATTGTTTAGATTGGGTTCGTCAGCAACAAGAGCAACAACAGAAACATCAACAGTCACGAAGACTTCAACCGAATCAACTACAAGCATCAGATTCAGATCAGCACTCACGTCGGTCGGTCGGGTTTCAGAGCTCCTGTCCGCATTTGTCATCCACGTTTATCACTACCACCACCAACACAACATCCATTCCCAACAAGCGCTCTGCTCTCTGTGTAGATTCTGAAACAGATGATCTCATTTCCCTTCCTGAACCTCCCCCACCACCTCTGACCAACTTTCCATCATTTGAGGGTGATAGTTCGACTGACTTATCAGAAGCTCAAAAACTTTACGATAACATCGATTTGGACTGGCTACGTTTATCCCGTACCACTTCCGAGCGCCGTCCTGCCGATCGTATAGAAGAAACCGGCTCTTCTAGGGAATGGTCTGCTACCTCCGGAGCAGCTTCCGGACCACGAGGTCGACTGTACACATCGCGACGTGCGATGACTGCGTTTGCTTGTTCTAATCTGTATCCTATCCCATCCAGGCATCACGAGGAAGAAGAAGCTGAAGATGATGATGCAATTGGTAAATCCATCCATTCTGTGAAAATGGAGCCAATTCGCCAACAGACTTCCATGTGCCGTGTTCAAACAGAGTCTAGCAAGGAATCGGCCCCACCAACCTCGTGTTCTCTTCATTATCACACAGGATCGTTTCAGTCTAGCAGCCAAACACTGGTACACGACCGTCGACCAGAAATGGGTTCACATCTACGACACACTAGTCTCCCGAATCCAATTTCAATGGACATCTTGTTTGCCGTGTCTCGTGCTAGTGGCTCCTGTTCTCAGCCAAACGATGCACATGAAGCCCTCTCCAATGTAAAAAATACCACGTTGATGGATCGGTGTGCCGAAGAGAGCCAACAACATCTGCCTTATTATAATTTATCCAGTCCTGAAGTGAGTCTGGTTCACAGATAATCATTACATCGTCTATTCTTTTGATTTGCGCTTTACTGCCTCTAGCTTTCTGAGAGCGCATTTTTTTTCGCGCGCAAGTGCACCGAAGTTTTCATATTGTCTAACTTTTTGCAAAAGAACCCACCCGTTCATTTTCGTGCCGATGAATTAAATCTTAGTCTTCGTTAAATTGCCGTCATATCGGGTTCTGCTCGAAAAAAGATTTTACACTGTTCCTCCGTAGACTATCTAGTTGTTGGCCCAATGCGGGCCATTTATTTATTGTTTCTGCATTCCTCCTACATGATACGATTCAGATTCTGCTCAAAACCGTTCACTGTTAAAATCTAAACAAACCTTGGGGTCATTGTGATTTTGTGTGCCAATATAAATACTGAATTTTCCTAATGTCATTGAATATGACGCGTGCCGGATGTTGTTTGAATTGCATGTTTTGCACCTCCCGAAAGGGGTCCACGACAGCCACTTCTTCATCTGTTTGTTTGGTTTATTTATTTCTGCTCGTTTTTCTACCAGTTAGACGATTCTACGAGTTAGTAACTCACACCAGGTTGCGAGTTTAATGGTTGAAAGAATTAGCCTGGCTCTGTCTTTTAGAAATCAGGGTATCGTTGACCTGATGGTCCCATCAGACATTGAGTAGTGTGGGTAGTTTTGATAGTGTGTGTCGTACACAAACGAACCGAGAACCGTGCGGTAGGCAACGTTGTTTATATACTTTTTCCCTAATCTAAGAGCGGTCAAAGTTACTAATGGCTTGGCTTACGAATTTGTAACAGGTGAACTTCTATAACTCGTAGTCGCGGTTCTTACCCATTTGTCTTTTACCCATATTTATCTTTTTTCCTTTGTACATAAACGGTTTACGAGTTTTCAGTTTATGCGGCTTGTTTTCACTCACTAAGCGTCCATTCACTTCACTGTGCTCATTTTTAGGCTTTAGGCCAACTGCAACAAACGGGACGGTCATCTCGTTCTGCGTCAATGCGTATCGGACAAGTTTTTCCAGATTACGGCCCTATCATTGGAACCATCGAGTCGGATAATCAAAAATTCTCTTTGAACGACGGAAATTCGCGGATCACTTCACTTTGTCAGAGTAGCTTTAATGTGCAAGACGATCTGTATGTTGTTCCAACATCGACACGGTCGCAAATGCACAGCTGTGCCGATTTGATTACACAGGAAGCGCCATGTGTCAACGCACGCGTTATGACCACAGCTCATCCGGAAAGGACTGAAGCGTTGGTTAGTTTGCACTATGCGACACTCGATTTCAGTCCCACGCCTGATCGATCTCAGTCTTCCGTAGACTTGCGCGGTACAAATGCTGTCGTTTGCACAGAATGCACAAATGCGCACCCTATCAATGAAGCTGGAAATGTTTGGGATGGACGAAGTGCGGCGTGTCCTATGCGTGTCTACGGTACATTTGTTCATGACCCGATGGGTCATTCAAACAACTCTGGCTCACGGATACGATCACTCAGTAGTTCGGGCGCCCCTACCGTCCATCCATCCAGTATGGATAACACAAATAATGAGCTACCCGCGAACTACGTTGCTATTTGTCAGCTACAAACATTAGCCATGCGAGCTGTTTTAAATGCGACTACTTAACCTGTTTACATGCTGATCCTGGACGCTCTTATTCCCGCCTCAACCCCCCGCCAGTGATATGTGTTTACGTTGTATTCTTCATCGATCGCTTCCCCACCTTTTACGCACCATAGCGCCAAACACATCTAGAAATCATTGTCATAACGAGTGCTCTGCTTTCCGTCCTTTTTCCGAGGGACTTTACTTGAGTCTTCGACTCCATCGTCTGATTGACTATTCTGATTTATGTAAGCTACCTCTCTTTCTATTGCATTTCACTGGTGATTGCTTCTCCATGATTTGTCCCCTCGTTGTTTGTTTGCCTCTTTCTCAAATGCCTTCCACTTTGCCCCCAGTTATTCACTGCAGGTCGAAATGATGTATTGTCTACATTGTTTTTCTATGCCTTTTCCATGGAAATCCGTTAGACATAAGTCTTTTTCTTTGACTTATCTCTTTCCAGTTTTTTTCGGCCAGAACTTTTAGGATCCGGTTGTATTTCTTTAGGCGGAACGCTGATTATGCATCTTCTTGATATAGGTTTTTGTTCCTTGTTTTTGTTTTGCTCGTCTGATTTTGTCACCTAGTAACTTGGTAGCTCATCATATTCTAACGGAGAAGCCTGTTCTCGTGAGTCTTTCGTTTAACGGTCGCTCACCAAATGCGTTGGTGAGCACCATAGCCTCGTATTTAAACTTAACTGGCACAGTTCGACGCATGCTGTCGTACGTATCAATGCTGATTGCATGTCATGAGGCGTTCATTGTCCTCAGTGGTTTCAGTGCATACACATTTTTTTTATTCGTCTACGCGCCTTCTCGCTCGTGTTTTCTATTTCACACTACCTATATATTTTTCTCCCTCCTGGACGTCACGCATGATATTCTATCTCTAACCGCTGTACGTTTGTGCACGCGGTCTACACAATCTCAATCCTACCACGTGACTTGTTTCCTTCTATCAATAAAAACATGTAAGTATCCCTTTATAGATATATTCACTATTAGCACACACCATTAGCACAAATGAATTTTACTTTCCTAAATCGATACATATGTAGATTACACATCAAAACTTAGGTGCATCGTTCATAGATAATACACTCAGTAATGTAGTTTTAACTGCAATCAATCATATTATTGAGATTTTATTACCTACCCAACCACCGCGGTGTTATGATATTTTAGAAAAATACTGGCTTTGTGCTTTCTATTCCATATCTACTCATGGGTGCAATGTAATGTCCATAACCCATGACTTCAAAGGATCACTACACTGTCAAGGATAACCGGCAACCTTGACTCTGAAGCTTAGAATGAAGAACCACATGATGCCTTGATGGGTTTGGCGTAGCATCGAGCTGGGTGACAACGGATTGCTTTCTTCTACAGATGTGGCCGGCAGTGGCGTACTTCGAACATCTAACCTCAGAGATGAATGCTTATACTACCCATCCATCTCCAGTTGACCGATATCAACGGTGCACTTCCTACGCACCTCCGAAATTTATGCTGAAGCTGCGGACTCTGTGGACCTCATATTGATCGATAAGAGAAGATTTTATTTCCGATTGATAGTCGTTTAAGTGTGGCACACTTCAAGATTCAATTAGATTCCGGAGTAAAGTAATAGTAAGTGGTCTCCATCGGATATTTTATTGTTAGCTGATGGCAATTCTGACTCATGAAATCAGTGGTTCTCCTGCATACTCACCAAATTCATCGACGATGTTAGGTCTCATGAAAAGCTGTTTTGTTGATTGGGTCAACTTTTCCTTCATACTACTCAGGCAACTCCGAAAAGTTCAGCTTTAATTCACTGGCGAAATTACATCCCCCTGGTAGAATTGAGACTCAGTGATGTCAACGAGTGGAATTTTATGACTCAGTCTCGAAGAAACCCGCCTAAAAGAATTTGTAGAACAACTGTTGTTGACTGCCTGAAGTTGCATTTTTTTCGTGGTCACAAGAAAGGAATGTACGGACGCTATCACAAAACGATACACGGCTGTGTCCATGAGTTTCTTTCAAATGGATAGTTACACTAGAGTAAGAAAGTATGGTCAGGTTCCGTAGGTTTGCATACAATTTCACGAGTTGTCTATACAGATCAGATAACTCATACGTGGCGACTATTTTCCTTCCGAGGGTCACGTTTTGTGTTCACTAAGGGTTGTCCGGTAGTACTTAAACCACGCGGAATTTCGATTCTAGTGGCCCGGTACGTCAATGTCGTCGGAAAACGTCCGCAACTTTGAACTATGCCATCCATCGATAACAGATCAAGCCGGTTTCCCAAAGTATGCAACCAACATTGTCCTTTACAAGACGGAAACCTATGTTGGCGGGGGCTATATCGGCACACCAAGTTCTGCAAACTGACCGGACGAATCAACCTAAACGTCGCCGCAGTTATCGGGTTTCAAATATGAAGGCGACTGCAATAACTTGGTTGGTGTTCTTCGTCCGTCTGAGATAAAATTGTGTGCGAAGAAATCTACCAAAGTCATCGATTCCATATATGTCTTGCTTTATTAGTCTGTATCGATTATACAGATTACACGGAAACAAACTTGGGAGAAGGCAGACGGACGTCTGCTGCCTTGGTGAAACTTCCTAGATCCTTATTTGCTGTTGATCAACTTAGATTCTGTTGGCGCAGAAGTTCAGTCGCTGAGGCAACCGACGTCCTTTGTAACGGGACATTTCACTTCAGAGTTCTACTCAATAAACATAATCGTTAGTGTACCTCAAGGATCGTTCCCCTGACTGTTTCTATCCTCTGTATTATTATTCTCTGGCTTAGGTCATGAAATTTCCAAGATCCATTTCGGCTGACGGCGTTATCTCCGTTCCTTTGGGTAGGGTAAATAAAGAGAAGGACATAGGTATCGTCCTCTTTGTAATTCAGAAATGTAATGCCCCCAGTTAATCTGGGAAGACCCAGTTGTCATCACGGATCTGAAACGGCAATACGTAAGTTTCATCCATTGTATTCGCACTAGGTGGAGTCCCCGTGATTTCTAGTTGTCATCAGTTTCTCATAGCAGCATACGAAGTTCAGAGGAGCTTTTTTGGCTGAGGTCTGCTTTCCTGCCGAAAATGAGAAATGCTAATGCAGTTTTACGGGGCCTTGTTTAGGCCAAATCTATCAGGCTTGGTTACCCTTTTATCACGATTTTACGGTCGGTTTAAAAATTCGAACTATTTACAGGACGTATGCTAGAAGTTTAGAAAGACAAAGAACAGTTTATTGACCTTGAGCTGTTTTTCCAGAAGAATAAATCGCTATCTGAGAACCTTGTAAACGTTTTAGAGTGGTGTTTAGTGTCCTTCTTTAATTGGGAATGTTTATTCTAAGAGGCTTGCGATAGAGAAGCAATTGATCACAAAAGAAAGATCATAGAAGCGTGCTAACAACTGCATCCTTTATACCAATTTCTCGTCAATTGTACTTGTTGAACATGATAAACGCTATTCTGTAAAGAGCGGACAAGAACGCAAAATATCCTGGAGCAATCGAGTTTGAGCCTCGAAACCGTGTACTACTTCAGGAAATAATAAGCCATCGTGGCCTCTAAGAAAAACAATACCGGCTACGTATTGGGCTCATTTCTGAGGTCGAGTTTCAATCTGTGAATTGTGGTATTGAATCAAATCTGTATCAGTGGAGAGCAGTGTGGTTGCTCTGTTGATGGCCTTCTGATCCATGAACTTTATTGTACATCCCTTTCTTGAGTGCTCGTTCAGTAGAACATCGGGAACAACTACGCCCGGTGTTAGAGTCCGATGAGGCATCACTTCTCTTTCCTTCTAGAGTAAAAATACGACATAAACGTCACGGTCATGGTAGCCTGTTTTGAGTGCGTAACGTTGGAAGACATCTGTACATCTGAATTCCCATGTCTATTTTCTGCTTTTTTGCAAGTTAACCTGAGTAATCCTCTCCATCCATGACGTTGGCGTCAACAGTGGTCTAAACTTCGACAAGGGTACCTTAATAATTAATGACTGATCATGTTTATAAACAATGATGCAGCATTTTATCCTCTCACTCTACTTTCAAATAATTGATAAACTGCCTCAGCAATATTCACTTCGAAATTAGCCTTGGCCTAGAACAATTTGTGTCCACAAATACGGAAACCATTATAATTATTTCACAGTTTAGCTGACAAGTCATACTAGCGGCGGTAGTTTTGCTTGCCCAAAGCTGAGTCGAAAGTCAAATTATCAGAAGCGTGTGAATAGACTTGGAGTGGTTATTAGTTTCAGACACTGAGCTCAAATGATATCGTTAATCAAGGGAAGAATCATTTAGACTCCGTGGTACCACATCATGAAAGAAACCGGGGGTCTTTATGCACCTCTGTAAAATTGCACCTGGAATACTACGCGTAGGCATGGATACTATACTATCATCAGGATATGAACTGCCCGAAAAATTACCAGGGTTACCCACCAGGATGGTGATCGTACAAAATAAAAAAAAACATATACCTTCGCGAGTTGCACGTTTTGCCGAGGGCGTTGCTGCCTGCGTCGGGAATTTGATAGAGGTATTCAAGATGGCAAAGGGAGCCTTTAGTATTTACCGAGAAGAGCTTTTCTCACGCTCCAGAGAAATGAACAGAGGGCACAGTGTTAGACCGCAAACGGACAGCTCAAGGTTTTTCTTTAATAACTGTTATACCCCCATGCAATAATATCTCCAATGGGGTCATCAATTGCATGACAGAGGTGTTTAATCATTTCCCTGGCAACATATTTCATACCCTGATCAGCCGACATTTCTGAAAAATTCTATTTATTTCGCTGCTTGTTGATGCGATTTTACGGCCATTCGTTGACAGTCCTCTGAAGAGGTGAGGGTCAGTCAATGCTATAGCACTGGACAGTATACTATCACGTGGACTTGTAGCGATCTGGAGATGACTGAGCTTGAATGTGTAAATTCATGACCAAAAATTCCTTTAGACAAACATAACCAATTAGCACCTAACTCTCAGCAGTTTGTACGTT